CAATCAAAGTAATGTAAACTAACAATGAATGTAATGTAAACTAACAATCAAAGTTATTTAAACTAACAAAGAAGGTTATGCAAACTAACAATGAAAATAATGTAAACTAACAATGAAGGTAATGTATATGTCACATGAAGACCTTAACGCCATGGTGTATGCAGATCGAGCGAGGGTAGGAGGGCCATGCATGGTGATTACCTGTGGCGCTCGTCACAAGGGCGTAAAGGTGTTGATACCTCAGCCATCCTGATTGAGGCGTATGGGTTTAGCTTGACTCGCGTTAGCGCGTCTCGAGGCGTGGCGCTAACCGTCGCTTGATGTCATGCTTAAATCACAGTCTGCGTGGACGATGGCCATTGCGAGGGGCTGCGTGGTGTAGAAGCTTGTGACGGAAGGCTTGACCGCTTCTTTCCTGTGTGTATAGACGGAGACTAAGTGTTAGCGTGAAACACTTCTTGCAACAAGAATTTATATAGAGGTACGGTTACGTGCGGTGCTAGAATGTACAATCTGCGTGGTCGTTTGTTTTACCGATAGATGTGTTAAATAGACATTTAGTTATATCTGGAAGACAGCGTTCAGTACATTAGGTAGGACTCTGTATAATATCTCTTGGTGTAAGCGATTTCCTCAGTATATCTCAGGAATAAACGCCATTTAGTGTACACTAGTGAGACAAATAAGTGCAAGCTCGTCGACGTGTTGACTGTGAGTTGATGCCGACACTTATCGACCACAAGAATTAGGAAAGAGCCTTTGACAATCATTGATGATTGGATGACTGCTTATTAGAATAGTAGCGACAGTCGTCCATGTCTCCGTCGCAAAGAAGCGTAGCTTCTCTCCTGAATTACAATTTAGAATTCTTGAAATGTACATTCCCATAAATATTTCTTAGCTTACCCCCCAGTGCAATCCATGTCATATTTGTCTGACAGCTATCTATATTTCTAAGCATTTTTCGCAAAATCTTTCATATCAAATATGATAGTGAATGCATTGTATACTTAATATGATATTTCATGGTGAATGCATTGTATACTTAATATGATATTTCATGGTTAATATGTTGTATACTTCATATCATATTTCATAGTGAGTGTATTGTATACTTCATATCATATTTCATAGTAAGTGTATTGCATACTTCATATTATATTTCACAGTGAGTGTACTGTATACTTCAAATCACATTTCATAGTGAGTGTATTGTATACTTCATATCATATTTCATAGTAAGTGTATTGTATACTTCATATCATATTTCATAGTAAGTGTATTGTATACTTCATATCATATTTCACAGTAAGTGTATTGTATACTTCATATCATATTTCATAGTAAGTGTATTGTATACTTCATATCATATTTCATAGTATATCTGTCGTTACTTTGAGTTGAATAAGGATTCTTTTGTTTGTTATATCATTATTGTTTTTTTTCCTTAAACACATTAACACAAGGTGGGGCCAAAAGTGTTGTAGAAATTTGAGAAAGTATCAGTGAGCTTATGGGAACTCGTGACAGTAAGCTAACAATGAAGGTTTCATTAACTAAAAATGAAGATGATGTAAACGTACAATCAAGGTAATGTTAACTGACGATGAAATTAATTTAAACTAACAATCAAGGCAATGTTAACTAACAATGAAGGTAATGTTAACCAATAATGAAAGTAATGTGAACTAAAACTTTTTCGACTCATTTTTGTTGGCTCGTTTCCTATTTATGTCAATTGGTTAAAAACAATTGTCACTCTGTCACGCAACAAATGTTAACTTTAATGACACCCAATAAATGTTAACTTTAATGACACCCAACAAATGTTAACTTTAATGACACCCAACAAATGTTATCTTTATTGCAACTCAAAAACTTTAACTTTAATTTCACTCAACAGATGTTAACTTTACTGTCACTCCAAAAAATGTTAACTTTAACGTAAAGGCATAATTTTTCACTTGACTTTCAAAATCAATGTTGCCTTGTGAAGAGTCGAAAGTGGAGCGCATCATAGAATATTGAGTGAAGAGTCGAAATTTAAGCTTGTCACAGAATAATGAATTCTTTGGTCCAAAGTCCAATGCGTCCACACTTTTTTCCCCGATGTTGTCTATTTCTGTTTAATAGTCAGATTTTACAATTTAAAAAAAAAAGACACACACTGACCACATGACAATATGAAGGAGACACTTTCGAGATGATTTCTTTAAACCATTGTATCCTGTCATTTCCCGTGTAAACAGATTTCCCGTGATGCCCTAGGGGAGAAATGTGAAGTCCTTGCCCCCTCCCCCCCCCAACCCGCCCCGTGACTGAGGACCTGTGTTGATAGCCCCGACCGGCATAAAATAGGGAACCATCATGAACCCTTTAGTGTCATGAATAATTCCTGACAGCTGTCAAAAAGCAAATGGCCCTGCCCCCTCCCCCCCCCCCCCAACCCGCCCCGTGACTGAGGACCTGTGTTGATAGCCCCGACCGGCATAAAATAGGGAACCATCATGAACCCTTTAGTGTCATGAATAATTCCTGACAGCTGTCAAAAAGCAAAGTGGATTGATCAGAATTTCAACACCAAAAAAAAAATTGTGTTGCTCAGTGTGGGTGTTCGGTAAATAACCGTAAAAACGCCAGCGTCGGTGTACGGAACAGAATGACTTCTCAAAAACTGAAGCGAGATTTCTTATGAAAGAAAGAAAAAAAAATGGACATCTTTCTTTTCTTAGCTAGTTTATTTTATTTTCAAAATAAATGGCTGTTGTTAGGGACATCCATTTACGTAAAGAATAAATGGTATAAATATTCATGGAACGAAATAACAGCTGCGTAAACCCACGAACCCGCGCTATTTACAAGTCAATAAATGACAGAAAGAAATAACGCACGAAGATGATGGTTTGTAGTTCGTGTCATTTTATTATGGTAAGCTGAAAATTATTCTATGACAGTGCCACGATCGGCTTCTTCGTGTCAGAATGTCGTATATTGGACGCCACGTGACTGGACAGTGACTTACTATATCTGATTGAGTTGACAACGCTACAGTTAAGGAGACAAGAGATAGACAGGTGTGCTCTTGCTGTTCTCATTGTTAGATAGTTGCGTTCTTTTTGTTCTGATTGCTGGATATTCGCGTTGTTGTTGTTCTGATTGCTATATAGTTTCGATCTTGCTGTTCGGAATGCTGGATAATGATATGAATTTAGGATACCTTCAGGGACGTGTTGCATTCTAAATGATCTGATCACAAATTAGTTGTGTAAATGTTGGATAAGTTTGGGAACATGTTGCATTCTTGTTGACCTTTCTTTCACCCCCCCCCCCCGCCCTGAAAAAAGATAATAAATAGTCTATTAAAATTATGATTACTATACAGTTATTGATCACATCTCATTGCCACTGATTACATAAGATTAGGTCCCAAACAACAATTCCAGGTCTTTCATGAGCTTAAACGACTTGACTGACTCTGATGAATTTCTTCCCCAGAAGTCCGCATGGCAGCACTTCCTGTGGTCGGATGTTGGCGGTACAGCAAAAGGAAACTGACGTCACGGCTTCTGATTGGTGGAGCCGTTGTCATGCTCGCTGCCATGTTTGTACTTCTCTTGTCCTCCAAAATCCACATACGAAGTAATTTAATTTTATGTATTGCATGGCTTATTTTTTTTGTTCAGTTTGTCGTGGGATTTAATCTGGCATCATATCGTAAATGCGTCATTTCGTGAAATAGTGTTCTTAGTGCAGATTTTTAAAAAAGTAAAAAAAATCTTCAGATGTTATTGATTTCGGAACGCGTAAAGCACAATATTCCAAAAATATCGATTTATTCCCTGGCCTTGATTTGTTTTTTGTTTTTTTTAAACACTAAATCAAACATATTTGCGCTATATGATCTCCCCATTTTGTAAAGTAATGTTGCTAAATCATAATGACATCCTTGTTGTCAACAAAAGTGTTGCATGTTTGAAATTGTTGTTTTCCCAACTTAATTAATCGATGCTCTGCTTACAGCGCAGTCAAAGTCATACACAAATCATATCCGACCAGGATTCATACATGTAAGTATTTTTAATACCTAAGAGTAATCTTTTTTTACATACAAAATTCTTCAAGGAGTGTCTCATTTCAATATCTCTGTAATCTTCTAGTTTAAAAAATTTTAGTTGTCATTCTTAAATTGATCGAATCAGGTGTACATGTCCTTTAGAGATGCAAACTAAACATGACCAAATCACCACATAACATGGACACATCCCCACATAAACGAGAACACATCTTAACCTAAACATGGACATATTCCCATCTAAACAAGAACACATTTTAACCTAAACATGGGCATATCCCCACCTAAACAAGAACATATCCCAACCTAAACATGGACAAATTCCCACATAAATATGGACATATCCCAGCCTAAACAAGAACATATCACAACTTAAACACGGAAACATCCCCAACTAAACAAATAAAACATCCCAACCTAAACATGGACACATCCCAACATAAACATGGACACATTCCCACCTGAATAAGAACACACCCCAAATAAACATGAACACATCCCGACCTAATCAAAAATACATCCAAACATAAACATGAACACATCCCAAACTAAACAAGAACAAAGCCCCATCTAACATGGCCACATCCCCACCAAAACAAGAATACATCGCAACTAAACATGGACACATCTCCACATAAAAATGGACACATCCCCAAGTAAACATGAACGCAAAACAACTCAACAAGAGAAGGAATCAAAGTGAATCTCCTTATGTTTCACTCCACAGTTCCATGAAGTCGCCAACCGTTCTAGTACTGTAAGTGGCATCAACAGTTTTTACCACGACATCGAACAATTACGAGAGGACCAACTCTCACGGGTCAAACACCTTCGCGAGCAGTGCGACACCGCCAGAGACAAGATGGCAGGCCGGTCCAGCAAGGCCCGGACCTACGGTCGAATTGAAATCAGCAGACAAAATCAGTACATGTACTGCCCGGTCCATAAGGTCGGCTCCACGTTCTTCCGTCGCGTGTTCTACGCCATGAGGGAGAACAGACGCTTGTCGAACCCGTACACCATACCAATCAAAAAGGCGCTCGCTTCCAAGCGGATTGTTCTAAAACAACTTTTACCATTAGATGCACCAGACACAGCAGCTTTTTTAAACAGTTCGACGTCCATCATCTTCGTCCGAGAACCGTTCGCAAGGATTCTCTCTGGATATGTCGACAAGCTCTTCGCACCAAATCCATATTTCTGGTCCCAGATCGGGAAGCACATTATTTCTAAATTTAGGCGTGACGCCAAACCATTGGAGAAATCATGCGGCCATGATGTGACGTTCTCTGAATTTATCGATTATTTGATAGACGCAGAGCTTGCTTATGATTCGCACCCTGACGTGCACTTCACACCGACGTACGACCAGTGCAAGCCGTGCCAGCTGAACTACAGCGTCATAGGAAAGATGGAGACCTTCCAGCCTGATCTTGCGTACACATTGCACCAGCTCGGGTACAACGTCAGTAAAGTAGAGCTAGCACAGTGGGCGCGGGACGCGACCCATGATGCCATCCAAGACTCGACCGTCAGTCCGTTCGAGTGGAAGTTAAAGATAAAGAAATGCATGTCTTGGCACGAAGGGTTAAAAAGAATGTGGAGAAAGAATCAAATCCGGGGAATAATTTCAATGGAGGAAAGATTTCCCTGGTCACCGGATTACAGTGAAAAGTTCGTGTCGGTTCGTATGTTCATGGAGCGAGTTAAAAAACTGAACGCGGCAGCGGATCAGCTGAAACTGAAGAAACAAAAATTATCGGTTTTAACGGAGGCATTCAGCACTATCAGAGTTGAAAGGTTATTGAAGCTAGTGGAGGCTTTTAAACCAGATTTTCAGCTTTTCCAATATGACATGCATCCACATTTTATATTTGACGAAGATTTAGTACAGCCGTACAGGCCAAAAAATGTTATATTCAATGTGAGCACCATATGAGCCCATTTATGTTTGACCAAATTTCACATGAAATCTCAGGTAAACTGACAGCCTCCGAGGTTTAGTTTCATTAACCCGCCTTGTATGATACAAATTAGACCCACAGCAGGTTCACGAAACATAACCCGTTGGCGAGCATTTTGTTTGAAACAAATTTCGTCGACGGAAAATCGATCGACGGAAATTTGACCTAACGGAAGTTTGGTCGAATCTTTTTTTAAATTTTTAAAAAAAATTTTTCGGTTCACACTTTAAAATTTTCATCAAATTTCTTTTTTTGAAAGCAATATTTAGTAAAACAAAATAAAGCTTTCAAAAGAAGACAAATTTTGACGCGGAATTTTATCCAGATAAAGGATTAGAGTTGGGTTGGGGAGGGTGTGGGTTGGGGCTCCAAAAGTGACATTAAGGAAATAAACGAGACAAAAAGGACCGATATCATCTCGAGTGTTTATTTATCGGTGAGCTTAGCTTGCTACTCGGTTAGCTCTGTCTATATCAAACAAATTTGTTTTAAGAATAATTTGTCAACGTTTTGCTGGTCTTATTTTACTCTATTCCTACCTGGAGCGCAACGATGACAAGAACTGAATGTGTCACAGGCTGGTGTATCTGAGAGAGAACTCAGAGATAGCTATCAGAGAAGAGGGAAAGCCTGGTATATCAGAGAGAGAAATCAGAGATAGCTATCAGAGAAGGGGAGGAAAGATTGGTTTATCAGAGAGAGAGAAATCAAACATAAATATCAGATGAGGAAGGACTGGTATATCAGAGAAAGAAATTAAAGAGGGAGAGGAGAGACTGGTATATCAGAGAGAGAGCAATCAGAGATAGATATCAGAGAAGGAGAGGAAAGACTTATATCTCAGAGAGAGAAATCAGAGATATATATCAGAAAAGGAGAGGAAAGACTGGTATATCAGAAAGAGAAATAAGAGAGAAATCAGAGAGGTGGAGGAAAGACCGGTATATCACAGATAGAAATCATAAGTGGAGATGAGACTGGATATCAGAGAAAAAATTAAAGAGGGAGAGGAGAGACTGGTATATAAGAGAGAGAAATCAGAGATAGATATCAGAGAAGGGGAGGAAAGACTGGTAATCAGAGAGAAAAATCAGAGATAGATATCAGAAAAGGAGAGGAAAGACTGGTATATCAGAGAGAAAAATCAGAGATAGATATCAGAGAATGAGAGGAAAGACTGGTATATCCAGAGAGAAATAAGAGAGGAAACATATAGGTGGAGGAGAAACCGGTATATCACAGAGAGAAATCAGAAACAGAGATGAGAGACTTGTATATTAGAGGAAGGAATTGAAGGGTGAGAGGAGAGACTGGTATATCAGATGGAGGAATCACAGAGGGAGAGAATAAACTGGTCTGTCAGAGGGAGAAATCAAGAGAAGGAGAGGACAGACTGCGTGGTATATCAGGGACAGAAATCATAAAGGAAAGGAAACCCAGGGATATCAGAGAGGGGGGAGAGAATGGTGTTTCAGCGAGAGAATCATAGAGGCTGTTTCGTATCATGGAGAGAATGGTTTAATAATAATAACAATATCATGATCAGAGGGGGGGGGGGGGGGGGGGGGTTCGTATCATGGGGGAGTTTGGTCATTGTGGAGTCTGGTGACTTATAAAGTCTAGTTATCAAAAAAGTCTGATCGCGTCATATTTGAAACAAGCTTGACATGGCTCTAGAACAGCGGTTCTCAGCCTGTGGGTCGCGATCCATTTGGGTGTCGAACGATCTGTACACAGGGGTCACCCTAAACCATTAAAAAACACATATTTATGAAGTAGCAACGAAAATAATTGTATGGGTTGCCGTCACAACATCATGAGAAGGGTTGCAGCAACGGGAAGGTTGAGAACTACTGCTCTAGAAAGTGTTGTTTTTAAAAAAAATTGATTTTAATTTTATTTTTGGTGGTGGGAAAAGTGACCGGGGGGGGGGGTGATCCTGAACATTTACCAAGGACCGGGGTCGAATAATTTGCTCTGAATCTGGATGGAGTGTTATAGTTGTACTAAAAATACAAACAAAATGAAACTTTTGTTTGTACATTAAACTGGAAAACACGTATATCACTTTATTGTATGGGTTGCCGTCACAACATCATGAGAAGGGTTGCAGCAACGGGAAGGTTGAGAACTACTGTTCTAGAAAGGGTTGTTTTTAAAAAAAATTGATTTTAATTTTATTTTTGGGGGTGGGAAAAGTGACCGGGGGGGGGGGTGATCCTGAACATTTACCAAGGACCGGAGTCGAATAATTTGCTCTGAATCTGGATTGAGTGTTATAGTTGTACTAAAAATACAAACAAAATGAAACTTTTGTTTGTACATTAAACTGGAAAACACGTATATCACTTTATGCCAGGTCCTCGCAGAAGATGCTATTTTTTCCCCCTTCATATGAAAATGCCATTCTTTTACTTTTCCATTTTTTTTAAAATTTTGAAAATGTATATGATTAAATTTTAATGAGTAAGATATTTTTTTTTCCCGTTTCATAACAGTATTTGAGCGTTTCTTTTCGTTAAAGAGGTTTTATACTGTCATTTGCGCTTGATTTCAATACGATTCAAATCAAATCAACGTCTCATAACGAATTAACGTCTTATAATACATCAAATTAGTCTTAAATCAACGACCTATAGAAAACGAACGTCTTATAGCGAATCAAATCAGCGTCTTATCACAAATTCCGTTACTTGCGTGTAAATTCTACAGTAGTGATAGTCTCATAGTTTCATTCATAACGAGATTGCCTTGTGCGAGCACTATGAACTCATTGGTCGGGAAATGCGTTAAAGAGAGGCGGCAAAGTCTGGGACCAACCCTAGCGTCAAATGACTTGATATTTAAAAATTATAATATTTTATTTTTATTTTTACTTTGCAAAAAGAAAAGAGATTTGTATTTTATGAGATAAACCTTTCAAAATTTAAAAAAAAAACAACAAGACTCAAATCTGTTATAGGCGTGAAAGACACTTGCACGATTCTTCTTTAGATAAAAGAATTCTGCGTTTTACGATTTTCTGATACTGTATAATTTTTTTTTTTAAAAGGCAAAAAATTTGTTTAACTTTTTGCTGAAGATATCAATATACATCTAATTCCTATAATATAAAATACTTTTATATCATATCTAGAGTTTTTGGTGTAAATTTAAGACAAGTTTTTAAAACAATTTTTAGGGGGAAAAAGCTGTAATTCAAGGGCACGAAAAGGGATGAATCTTAAGTATTTCTCCAGCGTAGTAATTGTCCCTCAATTAACTTCTTTAGTGACAGATGTAATATAATTAGTGATAAGTTAGACTGGCTAATTAAAGGTCATGTTTAGGGGGGGGGAAAAGTAGTTTAGGAGCGTGAAAGGGTGTAGGGGCAGACCTATAATAGATAGCAGATAAATACTTCTCAAAACCTAATGATGTTGGAAACGTAAATATCAATACATTTTTAAAGTTATGAATTGTCATGAATTTTTTGCAATAGGAGTTAGAAATTATCGCAAAGGATCTACCATTATTATCCCGATAACATCGTGTCATTTATTCTAGTTGTAGTAATAGTAAAGTGATGTCTTTGTGAAAATATGCATTTATTTGTGGGCTGAAAATAAGGATCGATGTAGAATGCAGTCAAAAGTCATTTCCATTTATTTTGATCCATAAAAAAATCATTTTTTTCTTACTGTATATTATTACTTTATTACTTTATATTATTTTCGCTAGCCGAGGAGCGAAAAATGGAAGAGGCTGCTGACAGAAGAGCTAGGAGAAAGGCCAAAACATTTGGAAGCACAGAACTCGTGTGTAAAAACTGTGGTAAAGACTGTCACTCAAGGATAGGACTGCACAGCCACTCGAGAAAATGCAACCCAACCCAACGGTGATGCACCATCGTCTCACGAGACGGAAGGATGCCGATAGTAGTATATTATTTTCGTGAAACAGAAGTGTTAGAACGGTTTTAACATAACTAAATATGTGTTATACAAATTTAGAGAGAAAAAAAACTGCAAGTTGTTTGAAAAACCATGGACACATTTACATACGTTTACCCGTACTCAAAAATTATTAAAATGGTGAAATAGAGTTTGAAATGTTTTTCTTTTGCAACTAAGGGCATCCAAATTTTGTCTTGGTGTTTGAAAGATAAAGAGCCGAGGATAAGTTGTGGGCTCGCATTTACGAGAACGGGCAAAATGTTGACATAAAAAGTGTATCGCTTGAAAAGTGCATTTCAGGTGCTAAAGAAAAAGGGAGAGGGACATTAAAATGTGAATGACAAGTGTCACGAAATCCAATCAATTGACATGCTTGAATATTTATTTAACATTAAACAATCCCTAAAATCAAGTTTTTTTTTTCCGTTTAAAATGTAATATCGAGCAATGTGGGGTGGGGTTGAGAATTTGACAAAATATGGATTCAAGTAACGCACATTATGAGAGTCCAATTTAGTGTACTCAACAAAAGACTCGCAAATGTCGATTTTTTTCATGCCCATGAACTGTTTAAATATTTTATTGGCTTACTCGTTAATACACGAAAGATTTATTTCACCAACTATTTCAGAAAAGCAAGAGAAAACTTTACGCACCTAACACACTGGTGATATCAATTTTTTTGAAAAAAGAATTAATCTCATGAAGAGAAGTAATCATGAGTTTTCTTTCATGATCTCAGTATCCATTATATGGCATTCATCTTACCATTGAAAAACTTATTATTTGGGGTTGTGGGGCTCGGCTGATTATTATATAGAATGCGTTCTCAATGTCAACGAGTCTATGTGCTAAGACTTAGCTTGACAGGTTGACTGGAAGTGGATCAATTAGCAGTCCGAAGATTTTTGCCAGCCAGCCAATCCACCAGCCAGCCACGAACAAAGGCGAAGTTAATCCAAAGGATTTAAAAATGACAT